CCTCCCCAAATCCCCTCTCCCTCAATGCCCCTCCCCCGCCAGCATCTGGCAGGGCCGGCAGCAGCGCCCCCCCCTCACCAGGACATGGCAGCGGGGGGCGGGGGGCCGGGCCGGGGGTCCCGGGGGTCCCGGGCAGGGCCCATAAGCCTCGAGGTCGCAGAGCAGCTCCACCAGGTCCAGCACGGAGCGCAGGGGGGGGCGCCGGGCCAGCACCTCGTGCCCGGGGGGCACCGGGCGGCCGCGGGCGACCAAGACGCGGAAAGCCAAGCCCGGGTTGAGCAGCACGGCGGCCGCGGCCATGGAGGAGCGGGGGCAGCGCTGCACCAGCCGCAGCCCCCGCGCCGGGCACGGCCCGGGACCACCGTCAGCCCCCACGACCCCCCAGTGAGCCGGGAGGGGAATCTCGGCCAGTTCCTCCAGGAAGGAGCCGGGCCAGAGCTGGGGAGCGGGGGGTAGAGGGAAGGGCTGTGGGGGAGAAGGGGTTAATGGGGTGGGGGGAACACTTAAGAGCCCCCCCAAGAACCCCCCCAGCCAGCAGGAACCTCCTTGTAAACCGCCTTGCTTTGAGCCCGGGCGGGGGGGCGGGGGGGCAGGGGGGGTCACAGGGGGGTCCCAGGTGTCCAGGGAGGGTCCCAGGCAGCCGGGGGGTCTCACCTCGAGGCGGGGGAGGGGTCCCGCCTCCTCCTTGATGGGGCAGAGGCGCAGGGGGGGGCCCGGGATGGGCCTGGGGCCGTTCTCAGCCCCCCCCAGCAGCTCCTCCTTCTCCTGTGGGGGAGGGGCAGGTCAGGGCAGCCAGGTGAGACCCCCCCCAGGTACCCAGGAGGAAGCCCCCCACCCCCCAAAAAGGGACCCAGGTGTCTGCAGAGGACTCCCCCACCTCATCCCCCGTGGGGAAACTGAGGCACACACAAGCCTTGGGGTCACGGGGGAGGGGACCGAGGCATCTGGGGGTCCCCAAAGCCCCTCCCGCAGGGTGGGGGGAGGGGGGGGCGTGGGGACACCTTGGTCCCCTCCCCCGACGCCTGGGTCCCCCTGAGGGGGGAGGGTCCGTGCAGAGCAAAGCAGCAAAGCCCTCTCCCCAGATTCCCTCTAAAGCCCCCCCAGGACACCCAATGAATCCCCCCCACCCCAGGAGCCCCCCAGGTTCCTCAGGACCCTCCCCAAATCCTCTGACTCCCCCCTCCCCGAGGAATCCCCCCGTCTTCCTCACCACTCGGCTGCTGCCCTCCTCCTCCTCTTCCTCCTCCTCCTCCTCACTCTCATCCAGCACCACCAGCTGTGCAGGGGGGTGCTGGGGGGGCACCTGGGGGTGAAAGCAAAGGCTCAGGATCCCCCCCAAACCCCAGGGACCCCCCCCAAACCT